TTTTATTTTGAACATATTGTTATTACAACTATACCAGCAATAAATATTTAGATAAGACTAGCGTATGTGGCTTACTTAATAGTAATAAATAATAACTGAATCACCGATAATCTGCGGTAGTTACTTAAACCGGAAATTACTAATAGTCAAAGGTTATCGAGCCAGAATTAATCGGTCTCCGATATCATAATTATTATCATGTTGAACCAAAACTCACTCATATCGGCCTTATTTGTCCGTGCACGTTCGGGAGTTTCAGCTATATCTTTTATACAAATAACAACACACTCGCATGAAACCTACTATAATTATAATTAATTATCAATCATTTATTAACACAACAGATGCGTTAGATAATTACTATATAATATACAGATCTCTCTAAAAATAATTGTATGAATGTTAAAAAAGATCTAAAACATCCAATATTAGGTTTCTTTTATATAATTTTAGTTTTAAATATTTGTAAAATTTAAAATATACTCGTAATTATATAAACAAGAATTCGATTAACAATTTTAATTTTAAATCGATTTAAAAAATATCATATATGATGGGCTAGTATTAGACGTCCTATCATGAAATTTAACGATCATAATAATTAATGACAATAAAAATAAATTCATAAACTAAATAAAAAATTAAACGATTATAATTTTAGCTCGTTACTATACGTATACTATATTGTTACAGTTACAACGCAATGATACATTTTTTATAAATCTAATTAAAGATAATCACTAATTTAAATTATAAAATAAAACTAGGTAGTCGTCATCGACTTACAACTTTTTATTTATGAAATATGTAACAGAAAATATTATACATCGTAATTGATTGATAAAATAATAGAAGATAATAAAAGAAGATTCTACTAGGTCGGTAAAAAAATAATGAAAAATCATAGTATGGAAACAATTCAATACTTCAACAAAAAAAAAGAATCGCTATCAAAATGTTGGGAAATGTAACTAATGTTTTTCGTTTATAAATGTATATTTATTATACATAGATCCTATGAACATTAAAATTCCATTAATAAAGGCTAATCATACAACATAATATGCACTCATTAATTTCGCATTAAAGTAAATTTGAACACAGAAATTCTGTTTTCACATTTCTATATAATATTCGAATCTTAATTTGTCCTGTTAATTGTTTTTACTCGGTTTATAGTTCGATTCACTCGATTAAAATAAAATATATTTTATGGCCAACCATAAAATAAATGTGACCTAAATTGAATTCCGATGTTTATACGTTTCCTTTTCTTTATTTGAAATATTAGTATACTATTCATGACAAAAGCATTATACCTATTCAAGTGGTTTTTGTTGTAATAACATAAATGTTAAGAAACGAACTCTTTATAAATATAATATAAATCTGTTGAAGCCTATAAATGGTCAAATCTGAGGTATCACATTGTTATTAATGTGTGAGTATTGGATATATATATACAGAGTGTCCCACGGAGTTCTAACAACTTGAAATCTAATCAACATTTTTTCATTTTTTTTTTTTTTTTATATAATTAATAGACGCTTGTACTACACGTATGATATAAATTTTTTTTTTATTTTATAGTAGGAAAAATAATAAATTTTAAATTTTATTCAAATTTTTTTGAAAAAATTGAAAATAGTCTATTTAGAAACATATTGAAAAAAATATGTTTAACGTTTACAGTATTTTATTTGAGTTATCCGTTTGCGACTTATTAACATTTAAATATTCGTTCAATTTACTGCTACTGGGCAATTTATAAAACCCAACAATAAAAACCAGAAGTCAAATGAAATTATATCTCAATTTAAGGATACCGATAAGAGCGATTATCGATAATAACTAATATAAATTATGCAAAAAGTACAATGGTTAATGGTCATAGGAATTGGACATTGGACCTATATAATCTGACAATCTGTGTATTATCTTAGTTACTTATTTTAGATTCATTTTGACTATAAATAAAAATAAAATATTTATATCATACGTGTAGTACAAGCGTCTATTAATTATATAAAAAAAAAAAAAAATGAAAAAATATTGATTAGATTTCAAGTTATTTCATTTGTCAGAACTCCGTGGTACACTCTGTATATATAACGTACAATACACGGCGAAGTACTGTACCTACGTACTACACACTTATTCATAAAGAAAATCGTTGGCACACTAGTACAACTGGACTAATGTCTAATTAGTACAGTTTCAGATTAATATCTATAAAACTGCTTAAAATAGGTATCTCTACATCATAATACTTTTAAATTATAGTTACAAATTTCTAAAAGCACCTTATAACTATTGAGACAAAATATTTTAATGTGTATAAACTATATTAAGTACAAAATAATAATAATAATTTTATAACGCAGAACTATTCAAATGTTACAATGTACATGGTACATTAAATGCGTACAGCATTGATGTAACCATGACAACGAAATTCATTGGTCTTATAAATATATACAATATACATACATGTCATGCTGTGAAAACAAAACGAAAATCAATGAAGCTGAGATTTCGGGACCGCGCGCACGCGTATCCCCAACACTGAGTTTTCTCTTTCAATGCTACTCCACAAATTATAATAAATCTGTAAAATTATGTAGAAATAATATTATTTAGCGGCGAGGTCTGTATTTTAATTTTTTTGTATAGGTGTGTATACAATGTATATTGTACATTTCATTGATAATGACGATAACGTCGCAATATTCACAGCAAATAATACAATAATAATGAAACGCATCTAGAGTACGTATGTTGAAACTATTATAGATTCATTGGTGATTACTTAGATTTAATATTAACCACGATTTTAGATATTTATCTATAATCGTGAAACCTATTTACACGTCATATAAACATTTTACCACCAAAAAGCTTGAACATACTATAACAACACTATAAAACTATCCGATAATTATTAATTTAACTCGTACCTGTTTGCTGTATCCGGGTTATGGTACGAAATACTATGTTGGTGGTCACTAGTTGGTCTAGTTTATACAATAAAATAACAAAACTTAGTGAAATTTAAAATCGCTGAATTACCCTAATACTGAGTATAATTTTATACAAATACTCGTACACCCTATTACAACGTATAGTAGACGCCGGTTTTTAATGTCAATGAAAATAATATAGTGTTATAGTTATATCCTTTTCGAACACGCGCATAAATCATAATATGCATAAATAAATAGCTAACTACTATAGTGTTGTATATTAAACCTATATAACTATTATTTATATTGATATTAAATGGTATTGATTTGAGTTCGTATCGTTCATTTCAGTTATCATCGTTTATTCACATTCACCTATACATTGTATTCATTTTAGTGACGCCAAGTCTAATAAGAATAAAAAGGAAATGGCTACTTTTCGAATTCTCGATAAACGATAGTGTGAAGTTTACAATGTACTTGACCCATGTCTCTTTACAATACAGATGTTATACCTACGATAATAAATTTAGTGTGTTTGTTAAAATCATTATTGTGACACTATTGTAATTTAGTCCCGAAAAATCATATTCATCCGCTAGTGTGTATTGATATTTGTTATACGTCGAATAACTGAGGGTGGTTTTTATTGTAAACAGCTTAACAATAGTTTGAAGATCATTCAAGTGAGTTTCTATTGAAATGTAATAAGGTTTGTTTGTAACTGCGTTTTACAACTACAAGTAAACCCGTTAAACACAATACAATATTTTACGAAAAAAAATATTACTTTATAAAAATGCACTACAGTATTGGAAAAACACACTTATGTATGTATAAATGCGAGAACAGTTTTGTTTCTTTATTTATAAGAATTTAGTTTCCTTGCCCGTTATTCAAGAGTATAGATAATTTATGAGTATTTAAATAAAACGTATAAAATTTCGTTAAAAAACTTTAATTTACTATTTACGTAACTTTATTTAGTGTCAGAATGTTGTGTAAAAAAAAAATAGATAAATTGTTCAAAAATATTCAAAAATACGCATACGAGTAAAAGTGATATTGGCTGAAATATTTTTATATAAATAATAATATCTTATTTCACGACTTTTAAATTTTTGATTACCTATTAAATTTAATTTAATATTCACAGGCTTATCTGTACGCGGGAAATGTATATAGAATATTAGAGAAATATAATAAAGTCGTCAAAACATTACTATATGAAAATTCGTGAATTTTAATAAATGTATAAAAATGCGCCAAAAACCTGATGAAATTCGTTGTATTACATTTCATAATGACCAAAAACGAGAGAAATAATGCTCGCTATTGATGTTTTCGCCGAAACCCCGTGGTCAGATCTTGATACAAATATTTTAGGACATTAATGTGAAAGGTGCGCAGGTAGTCTGTTTGATCTGAATCGGTAAGGAAACAACTACCTATGTATAAAACATGTATCCTTTAGATTTTCTATTATGGTGGCTAATCTTCTTCTTTTTTTTTGATTTGTCATTAGAACCAGAGATTAAAAATGTCTTTCAGTGATTAAAAATTATGGTAGCTAGTTGTGGAAGTGGCGGTTACTGGATCCACGCAGTCGCAACAAGTTGTCTTCCAGCATCAATTCGTAATCGATTATTTCTGGCTTACCGAAAAACAGATACAGCGTGGCCGCCGTCAAAACCACCAACTATTCCGCTATTGTTGCCACCGAGGTAGAAGTATAATCCGTCATCTTGTTCACCGCCCCCCTCCCACCGATGGCCAAGACGAATCAGCGCTGCTGGTGGCAGCTTCGACCTAGTCGCAGCATCGAAGGACAACACCCAACGGTGAAGCCCGGCATTTTATCCCGTACGTCTACATATCGCGCACGTGCAAAGTATCTACGAGCTCCGTCATTCTTACATTTTATTTACAAACCAAAAAAAAAAAAAATAAAGTGCATCATACCTACTGTGTCGGTTATAATTTCGAGGTTTTAAATAAAGTCAAAAATAATATATTACATACATCAGCACTGTCATAATGTCTACAATTCAGGAAACACAACCAGACATTCAATTCTTGAAGACCCACAATCTCATGAATGACCACATGATAGCGTGAGCACATTATTTTCGTTTTAATTCCAGTGCACAACCAAATAATAATTTTATTTTTTTAGAAATATTCTCGAACAACGGAAGTTGTTCATACAACAAACAGCCACTGGGGAGATCACACAAGATAAGTGTTTAAACTATATAAAGCTCGAATTAAACGTGATGGACGTTTGCAAACTACAAATCAACGTAAGTCTTAGAAAAAAAAATCGAACGGATACTGTAAAATGATATTTATTTTTATCGCTTTTTCTTTCTATAGAAAAATGATGACAAATGTCAGAATGTCAAAATTCTTACTTGGATATCTAATCAAATCGATTACTTGTACTACAGCACGTTTCAATTGTTTTCAATCGAACCTGAGTTATTGATAGAGTATATGGAGTTTCAAAAAAAACTATGTAAGTAAATCATGATACTGATGTTACAATTATTATTAATATATACAGAACATTTCTGAATCTAAAAAATTTACCATTTTTGGCATCATTTATAATAAATTCTTAGGTATTCTATATCACAAAAAAAAAATCAAGCAGCTAATAAAATCCACACGCTGTAACGTATTCAACATTTTATTTATAGCCATTACAGTGTTTAAAAATGAAACTTTATTGGTAATTTTTTGGTAATTCTGTTTTTCAATATTTTTTAAAACATAAAATAGTTTTACTAAAACAACGTTTCATAAACTTTATTACCCTCAAAATAATAGCTGCGCCAGTTCTTTTACACAACACTGAGTGAACAAAATTATTTAAATAAATTTTTCCAAAAGAACAGACCAAGCAATGCCATGTGATGGTACAACTTAAGTTAAAAAAAATTTTTTTAAATAGAAGAGTATAACTTTTATTTTGTTAATTATGGGCAATTTAATTTTTTTTAAACAAAAACGAACTTAGTTATCGTTCGTTTTCTAAAATATCTTCAAAAATTTAAACTGTTAAATTATATATTTTTTTAATTGTAAAGCTGTTAATACTAACATACACAATTAAACAAAAACTGTACAAATTACTTTTATTGAATAAAAGTTTTTTAAAAATTAGCATTTTAGAAAGAAAAAGTGATAGATATAACACCAAAAACACCATATTTACAACACTTTTAATTTTAATTTTATTATTTTACTATATAATACCTCAAATCTCTTAAAGTTTAGTTTTATATCTTCCATAATTTTTGAGTAAATTATTATTATTATCACCAAATTATAATTTTAATTTTTCTGCTAAGTTTGATAGGCTTAAGATTCTCAAAATCATTAAATTTTATTGGTTTATATACATAGAATTAAATGAAGCAAAAAGGAATTATACTGTGGTTAGTTAATATACTTATAGCGGTAGATTATTTTGTATTAATTAGCTTATGTTCGTTAAAATTTAGTTGACCGTATTTTGACGACAAATGTGTGGGACTTTCATTTTCATTAAAAAAAAAAAAAAAACTAATTACCCATAACTACCCATTTTAATTGAGTTAAAAATGTATTGTGTATTACTAGTTATTTTTCGGTAACTTACTCGCTACGGTAGCTCAAACAGTTTAATTTTTTTTGGTAAGTCACTACTCATCACAGACAAACGGATCAGAGTGTGGAAAGCATAAATATGGTTCCATATTTACAGGTAGTTATTTATTGTGGTTGTCAATGAAAAACTAAGTTCCTTTATTATTATTATTATTATTATTATTTACTAATCTTAAAATCACAAACCTCCTATAATGAAATTATATGAAAACTAGCTCACCAAATAATTATTACTCAATTGATAAACTTTATCGATTATGATTATTACCAAGATGTGAATAAGGAGAACGAAACTCTATTTACTAAATACGTAGAAAATTAAATGGTTACAGGTAGTGTGTTCCATTTTTTTTTTAACTCGTGAAGTACTTAAAGGAAATATTAATTTTTTTTTTTAAATACATGCATTATTTTATACCTCAACCGCCAATTGATACAACTTATGTTAATTATCCCTGATAGTTTCAATTATCAAACTCTAGATTTATCGAAATTATTGTTCCAAAAGGATTCGTTCTTTAACTCTCGTGAACCTTGGAAATAGCTTATCTATTATAAAATATAAATTATATATTATTATTTAAATATATCGTTACCTTACAAAAAACTTCAAATTATCATACATTTAGAATATACACTTAACTCTGAGAATTAAGTTGTAAAAAACAATAAATATTTCTATTTAGTTTTTAATATAAAATTGAAAAATTGAGTGATAGCTAAATTGCGGTTTTCCAAATTTATTTATATTTCTAAAGAATGATAAAAAAATGCTATACTTATTATAAATGATGCAGTTGACCAATGAGAGCACCATTTATCAAGATTAATATAACAAAAATTAGGAGTTGCTAATTCTATTATATTTATTATTTATACCATCTTATCTATTGGACATAACTTAATTTTATGTGTGTTATTTGTATTAATTATTTAATTTGTAAATTGTTGTATAGGACTTCGCCTGTTAACATAAATATAAATATAGCATAAATAATTGTATAGGTAAATTATAATTTCATTAATTATGAAACATTAAAATTATCATCATTCATTTTAATTTCCGAAAAAAAGACTTATCATTGATTAAACATACATATATTAAACATGTATGTTTAATCAATGCTTTTATTGAAAATTTGGGATCGAACTCAGTGCTATCAGTATTTACATCATGTATCACATCATGTACACGATTGCGCATTTTTTACCTTTTTTACCTGAAAAAACACAACATGATTGCGAACTTTTTACCTTTTTATATTTGAAATAATTCAACACGATTGCGCACAAAATGTATTTAATTTTATATTATTAGCTTACATGATTATAGTTCAAAATCTGAACTAGGTATTTGGTCGAAACAATTTTTGTTCACTTAGATTTTTACCCTTGGAAGATGTAGAAGATGCTTGTTCTTATTTAGCCCTACTGATAATTTTGAATTCACTGATTATACACTCAATAATTATTAATCATCTGATGCCGCTTTTATAAGCAATTGAAGCTGAACCTTCAGCAGAGTCAAGAACTTAAAGATAAATAGGTAAAAGATGCACAATCGCCAATTGTGTTGCACCGCACGTATACTCCACTAAATCACTTAATAATTATTAATAACATCTGTTGTGTAAAATAAGGTATCTAACATTCTAACTTATACTTAAAATTATAATTACTTAGAATTACATTTAGATTGCACTATTAATCTCATTGCGAATAATTTCATTTGTTAAGAATATATAAACACATATTTTTTTTAATTGTGTGGACGCAAAACTCGATTTACACCAGTAAGAAATTAAGACGTACCTATATTAGATTGATACGATGTTACTGGAATATACCTGTCGTGTAATAGATTGCTACATTTAATCAATTCCACAAACAAGATATTATAGAAGTCAGATGAACGAATCATGTATAAAGTAAAGAAAAACACTTCCTATACTGCCACATCTGCTGTATGTGTCATTTTTATTGTTCAATTTTTTTGGAGATAGCTTTTGAGTAAACATTCAGTGGCCATTCATGTTTGATCTCCTACTTTTCGACCATTATATTTTAAGATTGTAATTTTAATCGTCTTAATAATTATTAGTTAAATTAATACTATTACTATTAATTATTATTGTATACTGACGTTGTAATTGCGAAATTTTCATTTTTCTGTTCCTAGCTATCAATAAAGTGCTTGTTATCCAACAATCCCGCGGACACGATTTTTGCATTTTTATTTTAATCAGTTTTGTACTAAAACATAAAAACAATAAATTTTGATCATTTATTTATTTTATTAATAACTATTTACTAATACTTACTAAAAAAAATGTATCTATGTCAAGAATATATAGATATAAAATTAAGCACAAATTGCAAGTATATACACAGATTTCAATAAATTTCATAACTATAGAATATCTATCTATTGTCATCTGGATGACTTAATATTTTTTTGATCAAAATAATAAAATGGTATCTACTCACTATCTTTGTTAAAAGTTTATTCTCTATCTTTGATGAAATATAATTTTGGTAGAAAATAGAATACTAGATAACTAGTTATTTTGAAGATTTAAATCGCAAAATATTTCCGTGACAATATTCTTAGATGCTTGCTTCAAAATAATATTGAACGATTGGTAATATAATTTTACAATTACATTTGGTTTTATAAAACATCATAGATTAAAATTAGTAAATTATTCAAAAGAAAACATTGAAGTTGGAAATATAACTAAGAACTAAATATTAATTCCATGGACTTGATACATTATTTAAGCAAAACAGTGTTATATTAGACATGTTAATAAAAAAAAAGACTTACTCTCCAAGATTCATTTCTGTATTCCCTCATATTCATTTAAAAATTAATCTACCTTATGTACCTTTCCATTCCATTAATTACTGAATTATTATCTTAGATTAATTTTTTTGGTTATGTAAATTAAGCTAAATTGTAACTTTTGTTTATAGTTCTACAACCCTACATAGTTGATACTTCAAATTAAATTTCATTAATTCTTTTTTTCTGCTGTATATACTTAAGTATAAATATTTATAATAAATTTGTTTATTTATAGAAAATATTTGTAAAATTACTTGTTCAGACATAAATAAATAATAATAACATACCATAACAATTTTACAAATAAGAAATTAAGCTAAAGTATAGCCTCATGATGAAGTTTATATGGGTAATAGTTTAATTTTACAAAATAGTATAAATTGTAAAAGATTATTTTTTTAAATTTTTTAAGTAATTGAATATTTTATAATACGAGTATGATGTAGGCAGTACGATATATTCATTTAATTTGCAATATTAAAATATTGTGTGAGGTATTCATAATTGTTATAGAACCAAATTTACATAAATAAATTTAACTTACTTATAAATTAATTCTTATTAATTAGAAGACAGAAATTACCGATTATTAAAATATCAAATAAAATGTATACTAATTAGGACTTACCAGTAAAAATTGAACCATCTTCAAAACTTGGTAATTAAAATAATTTTAATATGCATTCTGTTATTTGTAAATAGTTTAATACATCCAATATACGCATAAAATTAAATTTCTATTCCTCTTTCATTCAAATTAAAACAAGCCAGTTTCACTATTAAAAATAAAGTTTAAAAATTAATTTTAGGTGATGATAATAAACATTAATTAAATCTAACAACTTATAATTTTTAAGTTTATACATATTATCAGAAGCACATAAAAAAGTAAGCGAGTCCTACAATTTTCAAGCCCTATACAAATTATATATGAAGTTGATAAAATTGTAAAAAAGGGGTCATTTAACATGTTTCCATTATTTATTTCCCGATTTTCCATACCTAAAAAATAAAAATTTTAATTTGAAATGAATTTTAAAATGCACACACAAACTATTTTTTTACCTATAGGCTATAGCAGTATTAGTGTTACACAAATAGGTATTAGAATAGCTCATCTTAGTCTTTTGGTGTGTAGTCCCATTCTTATTAATATCATTGCCAAGAGCCCAATAATAAGTGGAATATAACACAAAACATTTAAAAGAAACATTAAATACAAACTTAACAAAAAAAATAAAGTTTAAGAAAAAAAAATAAATATTTTACTTGTAACTATTATCACTACCTGAATATGATTTGGTTCATTTGAAGTAATATTATCTTTGATAGCAAATTTATCATTTAAACTAATATTAAGTATTGATTATAATTTAATATATCCATCTCAAATGAATCAATCGCTATTTTCAAGTTTGTTTAGTTTTCTGACAAATTGTAAATTCATTTTGGTACAACCATAATTTTTTTGAAAATATTACTACAAATATTTTTTATTAATAAAACAACTGTGAAAAATAAAAAATAATATCACTCAAAATGTAAATCTACAAATGTATTTAAATATTAAAATTGATCAATACGTGATTCTGTTAACTCTATTAATCTAAGTTATAATATAAGTTAACATCAAACAATGCCCAACTTGGTTGATTAACTGTAATCAAATTTGGGAGAAATTAGTTTAAAATAGATTTCAATCACAACTTATTTTTTTTTATTATTATTTAGAAGACTTTCTATTATACATTTTCTATAAAAGTAAATAACAATGATAAATCCAATTAATTATTTTAATACCTATGTAATTTATCTGCATTAAATATTGACAGTTAATACCGCCATCCTGAGTGACATATTGAAAACATTTGGACATTCTTTTTCTTACCAACTTTGAGTAAATCTTACTAATTGAAAATATCTCCAAAAAAAAAAAAAAAAATTTGCATAAAATTAAAAATAATATTTGTCATGTTAATACATTGGCTTTCTATAAAAAAAAAGACATTAAGATAAATAAAACACATGTAGATACATTAATAATTATTTTTTATATAATACAAACTAACAGACTATAGATGACGTTATCATAGGTTAAACTACAGAGATATAAATAATAAATTATAGATAAATGTAACTGTGTAAAACAGTAAAACTTCAACTCTAACCATATTACAGAATAACTAGGTACCTAATAATATTATCCATGATTTGTTCCAAAATGAAATAAATATGGTTAATGGGTCAATATAAATTTTATATCACCACCAAGATAAAATGTAGGTTTAACTAAATTCAAGTCGATCATATTAGAGATTGATACAATAGACTTAAAACTAAACTAAAAAATTCAAGTTTTTTACATTATGTATATTTATATGGTTTAAATATTTTAATAATTTCAAACTAATCCAATTCATGTCATTAAAAATATAAATATATACTCAGTTATGAAATATGGAAAAAATAGTAAAAGTTAATTGTAAATATTTTAAAAATTGATATTTTCTAATTTTCGAATTTGTTTTAGATAACATAGATTTTTTTTTTTTAAATAAAGTACTAAAAAATTCTCAAATAATCTATTAGTTTTATAAGAAATAGCTTAATATAGGTATAACTGATAAGGATAATTAAAATGTACGTTACAAAGAAAATGATTAAAATTTGGGAGTTTTAAAACTTAGCAAACATGTATTAATTAATGCAGTTAAAATACCTCAAAAGATAAAATAATAACTGATTGAAAGTTGAAACTAAAATAAAGAATATTAATTATTAATTATTATAGCATTAAGTTCATCAAACATTAAATTAAATATTATAATATACATATACATATATATATATATATATTTATATTTATTTATTTAAGGTGAAAACACTTTTAAAATGATACATGCAATATCTAACAAGCCGATAAATTGGTTTTAGTACTTTTATGTTAATATTTATTAATGTTTGTGAATACTATTTCACTAGTCGTTTTTCTTTTTAAAATGTTTATGTTAGCTAAAAATAATGATTACAATTTATAATATATATAAAACTTAGTATGTTATACTTTTATTAATTTATTTAACTTACCTTTAAATACCCACTTTTGCCTGTTTGTATTATTTGGGTTAAGGGTATTGATTTGTAAAAATGTACCTATGTTTTTGTCTAATTGTAATGAATAGTTATATTTGTATAAGAAACTGAAGGATTAATAAATACTAATCGTATTGTATCACATTTTTTAACCCAAACAACACATCTAAATTTGGTTAAAAGAATGATAAGTATTAATAATACATAGGCATGCACTATGGCTATAGGTAGGTAGTATTTGGTATCTATATATTATTATATATTAAATATAAAACAGAATATAGAATTAAATTTGAGTTTAAACAATGTGCTTTTACTAAAATTTAAATTTCAATAAATATTACTTACCTTACAAGAGCCAAAGGACATTATTAAACTTAGTTGGTTTGTTAATTTTTTTAAAAAGAAATACTGGTGCAGTAAGCTAAACAATGTTTACATTCATCCGAAGACATTTATTAATATTGAATATAATCACAAATACCATTGTAGATGTTATTAATTTCCAAAATTAACTTAACACAGCAGAGCGGAATAATTGTCAATTAGTTGTTAGTCGTTACTCGTTAAGAGAACACAAAAATATGTGGTACGATTTTACTATTTTAGATAAGTAATTCGCTGGGCAACTATCACTAGTCCATGACTGTGTACATATAGTTAGTTCGGTGACAACCACACTAGATATCTATGAAAAAAAAAATCATGGCCAAGGTGGGTAAATAGTTAAAAAATAAATGTGTAAAATAATTGATGCATTTGATGCTGTCAACACTTAATAGTTATTATATTACGTGATTACGTCTATTGTCGATTTAATATTTATGATGGCTGGCCGAAAAAAATAGAACATTTGTAACTACCACCAGGAGCACTGACTACCCGATGAGAGCTAAAACATATTACTTAATTATTATTTAATATTTATTATTATGGTTTATAATTTGTATGGCATAGTAGCCTATAAATATAAATTAATTATGCACTAATAAATAATAATTATTAATATTTTCAATTATAAATAATGTTTAACTTAAAAATATCGAGAGCATTAATTATGATTTGAATTAATGTTTTATATTAATAATCACATTAATTATAAAATAGACTATTACAAAGTCAATGGGTAATAAGCTCATAAAATATTACACAAAATTATAAATAAGCGTGGTGAATGGTGATCTTAGTCATTAGACACCGAATGACTGAACTTTAGATTACAATAATGCTATAAGAGTTAATAATTCACAATCAACAAAATTATTGTTTATTAATTATAAACGTGTTTTACGAACTTGCTGTAATTTTGGTAAAAAATCGGTATGACTTTTATTTTTGTTGTTAATATGATAATATGGCCATATGGAGTAGGTACCTATAATTGGCTATTATAAAGAACTATTTTTAAATGCATTACGCATAGTTTTGTATTTATTTAATATACAACAGTTTTACAGTATTTAAATACTTGGTTTAACTTAGAGAATTAAGTATAAAAATATGTTTGTACTCTCTAGTCCCCATATTTGTTTGAACTACTCATTCAAGAATAGAATTTAATAGATATTTTATAAAAAATTAACTATTTGTTTATTATTTTTAGAAAAGTATTTTGAATACTCGTCTAATATGCTATCTACCGTAATTTTATGATAGTTTAGTATAATATCTAGTATCTACCGTAAATGTTATTGCATCTACTGAGTATTCTTATACTTAAAAATAATAATTAATATACTAATTAATAACTAATTAATATTAATATACTTATTTATAATTATAATTTAATATATTTGGTTAAATTATCTATACTTCATTTTGCAATTAAAATTAAGATTTTATCAAAATCTCAAGTATTATTATAATTATATCTCTTTATAATTTATCATATAGGTTTCTAAAAAAAAAAAAAATTAGTTTGTGTTTGTGAGTAATGCCGATTTTATGTGGTTTTATTATAATTTATTTATTTATTATTATTTATTAATTATTATTATGAGTTATTTATATCGATATATAATTCAAAATGAAGAAATGTGTGCAATTTTTTAAAAATATTTAGTTGTTTATTACCAACTGCAACTAAACATGTACCTACCCACAAAAATTTAAAACTAAACCAGAAAAGTAACAAAAAAGAAATATTGCATTATAAAGGCAAGACAATTTACATTTTTAAATAGAAGATACGTGTTGATATCATACTAAACCAACACAAAATGATGGTAGATAGGTAGCTTACTAAAGCACTAAACAATCAAACGTGTAATAGGTAGTTAGTATATGAACGGACGAGTACCGTATTTTTTTATAAATTAGGTGTAGTTACTTGTTACTTAAGAAAAAACAATAACATGGCAGTAAAATAAAAAGTGGTAATAATTTTTAAAAATTAAATTTTTTTTGCATAAATATAGAGATTGTTTTATAAATAATAATGCATAAAAAAACTATGTTATTTTAATTTTTAAATCACAAAAACAGTAGGAATAAATGAATGATGAATTAATAACACCATAATATTACGAAAATCTTACATTTATTTAACATCTAAAATTTATTGATTTCAGAAAGCGTTTATAACCAACGAAATACACCCATTGGTTGTACTAATGTCAAAAAAAAATGTGCGATCCTAAATTGTATTTATCTGCAGCGATGTTCGAATATGAAAACCACAATATCGAGATGACAAGAAAATTTTTTGACGAAGGAATTAAAAAACATTATAATAACAAACATCTGCGTCTAGAACAATTCCGGATTGAAATTCTATACTTAGAAGAAACTTGCAATGATTCGTGTCAGATAATTATACAAAAGTATAAAGAAACAATCGAACACTTCCGTGGTGACTATAAGTTTCACGTAACTTTACTAGAAAAGTCGCTACAATTTAAATCCATTAAGAAAATTCAATACATTGTTATCCGGTAAGACTCATTAAAATATAAATACAATACATTTGTGTTAATTTGTACATGAGATTTTTTTCAAAACATAAATAATAATAATATTGTTTTGTTATTGTATTTTTAGCGATTTTATTGAAATATACCAGCAAAATGATTTGATGTGGCATAAAGTAGCATTATTATGCGCCGACGGTTTTATATATGATCACGATACGAACTCGTTCAACTACACTAATAAATGCGAAGACAGAATTAGGTTATTTTAAACAATACAATTAATTATTAAATCATATTTGTTTTGAATTTTTATATGCGGAGTGATATTCTTTTAAGAGTATATATTTAAAATATCTACCTGCCTATTTTGCCTATTTTAAAAAAGCACTAACGTTTATAATGTTTTATAGGCAAATAATCATTACATAAAATACCGCATTATTATAAAAAAATATTGAAAATATAATATATTAAAGATGTTGTTTTGTAATGCCTTTGAATTGTATAAGAAAATATTTTCAAAAACGTTTGTACCCATTATTTTACACAAATAAATGATAATATAATAACTTATAAGTTATAAGTTATAAATTTATAATCATTACTATTAAAATAACCGCTAGGTATTTGTTAATATTTATTATAAAGGTATGTAATAATGATATACGGTTTGTTTTATAGGTTTTGTATCAAATCGTATCAACAAGGTTTAAAAATATTATTAGACATGGAAAGAAAACGTACTTTAATCGAATTCTTTATTAAATATTTAATAAAACAATGGATAAGCAATGCAATTAAAGATAGAGTAATCAGAACTTTAGTAAATAAGGCTATGGAGCGCGCATTTCATATGAGCCACTATTACCTTGGAGGACTACAAAAACCAGAGTATTACGTTTATTGGGTAAGTTTCGTCAAAAAAATTATAAATTATAAATTTTAAATTATAATTTTGTTTGTGTTGCAAAGGCCGAGCATACCAACGAAATACGTCCTAATATTTTAAAATTGGCGATTAAGCGCAACAAAGACAACGTTAATGTGTGGACCCAAGTTTTGAATTATTATATTGACATCTTTGATAATTACAAATTGGCAAAGAGGATTTTTGATGACGGCGTTCAGGCATTAGGAAACAAATCATTACCCTTGTGGAAAATTATGGATTTATTTTTGCAGAACATCAGCATCAAATTGGTATGGTATAATAACTGATATTTGATGTATGAATATATTTAACTATTCTTCAATTATTCTTGTTTTATTAATATGCAAATAATAATAATTAATATTAGTGCCACTTGAAATACAAAAACTAATTTTTTAAGTACTAATATCTTAAAAAAAAAATCGGGAGGTATATCGCCTTCAGCCTTCTGATAAAAGGCTTTCTAATTGATATACGAAACGACTTTAAGTTATGCTACAGATTATTTTTTTGCTATTCGTTTCATGTTACCCTATCAGAAAATCGATTATTTAATAAGTTTAATATCTTCAATCGTGGTAATATCGATTGGTGTTAATAATAATTACTAAAATTAATTAAAAAGAAACAATAATAAACTATAAAATATATTGTTTGAGTATTAAAACAGTAAGTTATTAGTGGATTCATATTCTTGACTATGATAAACTATTAGGTAATATAATATTATTGAAACCAGAAGAAACGGAGGTATAGGTTTGGTCTGGGAAATGGGCGAGCTAGAAAAGACAGCGTGTATTTTTATTCGAGTGGTGATTTGACTGATTATATTATTATGTGTGTTTTTGAATGTATAATAGTTATTAGTTTTTTTTTTTTTTTTTTTTTATTAATAAAAATTACCCTAGGCGGCATAGGCCACTGGAATTAGTTATTAGTGTTTTTACTATAAATTGACAAAACCCGGAACTTAATAATTTACTTATTCGGAATAGCTTAAGCAACATCGTTGCAGATTATATTTTACAAGTTTGTTGTTTTTAACCGCATTGTCCTCATCCGTTGCCAACATGGTGAATCGTGTGGTTGTGTAAAAAAACATTATTTTTCCTTTATGAATTGGTGAATTTAGTGATAATACGCGCTAATGACTTGGTTATTTTATGAGGCCATATTACTCATATCAAAAATAGAGACTCCGCGATAATAATTCAAAAAAACGAATTACGTAAACAATAAACAGCGATAACGAAATACGAACACGTTAATATTGAACATATTATGTACTTACTTACGAATGATTGTTTAGAGGATGAACGATGAACACTAAACCGTTCAAATTTTCTCATAATATTTTATGTCTTCTAACGATTTGTTGTAAGTTGTTGCGTTTGTAATCCATAGCTTGAAGCATTTTATGAAAACGGCGCCGAAAGCACGTACAGAGAGATAAACGTGGTATACAAAGTGGAGTTTCTGCAATGGCGCAACTTGTTCGACGACATAGACACTACTCGAAAATTATTCTACAGATTTACAAATACAGCATCGGAGAGCAAGATGTTGTATTTGGCCATGATAGATTGCGAGAAATCGAATAAGTCGATCAACGTCGAATACGTAAGAAATCTGTACACACTCGCTTGCTCGAAATTTGGCTACCAAGACAATGATGACGACTGTGAGTATATTTTTAGAATAATAATATTATGCGTTTTGGTCATTCGAATAACAACAATATTGGGTAGAGGTAGGTTCCTACTTTTCAGTTATTTAAACTATCTACCACTCAAATCGATTATGTACCATTTTTGTTCACTTGTAAAGGAAACGTATGATTAGTTTTATATTATCGAATGCTCCCGAGTATCAACTAATAGGTAATACTTTTGATACTTTTTCACTTTTACTATTTAAATACACAATATTGAACTTTGAATATCTACAAATTTTTCAGGCCCCTGATTTTTGTAAAAGTACTTAACTTTTATTACTTTAAATGTAATTATTCCAATTTACTACCTACTGATACTGTATTATGATTAATATATTCTTATGTTTTTACAAAATGTATTGGATTTTATTTCTGCAGTTCAAAAATACATAATATAACGTATTATAACTAAAAAGATAATGGATTATGATTTATGATTATTATTATTAGTTAGATAGTTTCAGTTTAGTATGACGGAATTATCATTGATGGCACTATGGCAGCCTGTCTTAGGTCTATTGAGTAAAACGGAAATTTGTCCTACGAAAAAATAGATTGCGAGTCAGGGGACGTCCGTTATAATTTTTTGTATGTGTTATATTAGTCTCCGCCTCTTTGACCAATTTTTTTTTTTTCGTGTAAATAAAGTAAATTAAGGATAAATTAATAAGAGTAGATCAATTTTATTCAAGAATTGTTTTCAAACAGATACTAATTATTTCTCGTATATGAATTTATGACGAAGACCAATATTGCTGGCATATGGCATTTTTTCACAGGGACTAATAATTGTCCTGAATCCGCCTGCAGTCCCACAGTTCAGATAATGGAAAACTATTTAGAAACTAATATTATTGTTTATTAATATCATATCGAGCTGATTGTATTATATCGTCTCACTTACAGGTTTGTGGGCCGATAGTATTAAGTTCGAGTTCATGTACGGTAAAAGTTCAGATGCTGAAAAAATCTATAATGTGGCATCTAGACTTGTCAAGCCAGAGTTGAAGTGTACTTTGAAAATAAAGTACGATTCGATGAAAGAAAAGTACAAGATTGAATGATTAGTATAAGGTAAAAATACTTTAAATTGTTATTAATTCTAAATTATCACTATATTTTCATTTGCAGCAGACGCATCGTTACTACATCGATCCAGCTGTCATTCATGTTTCAGACGAAGAAGATTAGGCAAAAAATAGGCGTTTGATAAATTATTATTATTTTTTCTTTATTTAGGTTTAGCACATTGTTATTTAATTATTTGTGTTACGTGTCATATTAGTAATGATTACTAGTGTTAAATATTTTTTTTTGGTTTTAAAGTACACAATTAAATTATACCTACGTGCAGTGGCGTATTTTCAATTTTTTGTGGGGGGGGGGGGGGTTCTTAATATTAAATATAAGTTTATAACATTATAATAAAATACATACGAGTTATGATTTAATAATGATATTATTTATATTATATTATATTTCACTATTATTATGAAAATAAATGTCAATTAATAGTTAAAACCAAGTTATTTTTAAAAATATTGTAATACAAACATTAAAAACACATAATATAAATTAATATTATTTTTTTCTGGGGGGGTCGAGACCCGAGAACCCCCCCGCCCCCCGTAAATACGCCACTGCCTACGTGATGAAATTATATACATCAGGGGTCGGCAACCTTTTTAACCACACGGGACATTTTTTTTTTCAATTGTTCATCAAGGGCCACATTAAAAAAAAAAATTACATATTATGATATAATACTTATAATTGTATTGCTATTATGAAACGGTTAGATTAGATTTTATTTATAAAGGAAAAAGAATTATATAATATTGAAAATTATATGAAAAATGTTATTGAACAAAAGTAAAACACAAAAATTAACCTAACCTTTGTGTGGGCCATTAAAAATTGCTTCGGGGGCCGCGGGTTGCCGACCCCTGATATACATGACGGTATTGTGATATAATTTTAATTATGTATTCTAACTTTATCTTTATATATTTTGAGGTTATGTCTGTAATTATTAAAAAATAAATTAATAAATAATATATTATATAAACCTATGGTGTCCTACAGACCTATAGGTTACACACTTAAAGTTACTTAATATTTATACCTAGTTGAATTATGACCCATGGTTATGTATACATACCTTATTATTTATATATATTGGATACACTGTATTGCTATTTTTTGACTTTTTATTTAATAATAAAAGTTAATATTTAAAACTAATAATGGCTAATGCGTAATAAACACCTACCTATGTAATACATAAGTACCTAAGTAGAATACAGAATATATTTAGTAATAATTGTGATGAATAATAAAATTAATTATATTAATAATTTATTGTTAATATCTAAAAATAATTAATTCATATAAGATATTGTACTAGATTTTTAAGTTTTTTTGACTTAGAATAAACATTTACAAAAACGAAAATGTATCGAAAATTAAATAAATATTAATACCCTATACCTAAATAGCTTAAAACTGGTAAAAATAGCTTAATCATTTATTTTATTTTAATTTATTTCAATTAGGTATTTAACTTAATATTAGAAATTATCGGTAGATTATTGTTTTATAAAATTATGTTCTTCATAAAATCTTAAGTGAAGTCTTGAAACAATAAATGTGGCAACTTTCATAAGTAAAAATATAATGAATAATTTATAATACTGACGGCGCGGTAGCTTTCGCAAAGTTCTAACCATTATCCTTATAGCTGTGTAGTGATGGCGAGTGGAAATTTCGTCAGCTGTACGGTGGTAGTGCCTTAAGGGTTTCATGGATTTCGCCAGACCTTTTTATACTACGGGATAAGATATATCTATTCGGTCAGTATAGGTCTAAAAATAGCTTACTGATTCCGTCAGGGAAAAAAAATCTTCCTGAACAAAGATTATCGTTTTATAGAGATCTGAAAAATTGACTTAATATTGATAATTTATTAAAAGATTACGAAGTTAAAAAAATTAATCGTTCACATTTCATTAGTTTGGCATTGTCACATTATAAGAAATAATATTTTACAACTTTTAACTAGGTATTGCATATTGTATATTGTAAAAAAATAATAAAATATACATTATAAAAATTGTTATAAAATTGAATTTGTATTATTTTGTATATATTATAATTTATAATATTGTATAGTGTATTCATTTTATTTTTTATATAAACATATATATACGTATATATATATATATATATATATATATATATTGTATTGTATTGTATTCATTATATTGATTATTTATTTAATTTTGATATTTAAACGATCAGTAATTGTTGAATTATTTTGTAGCTATATATTATAATAACAGAAACATGTTGTCAGCAGTAGGTGTCAACAGTGGGTGACGGAATCGATAGGCTGTTTTTAGACTACCTGTACTGGCGGAATTGATGAATTATTGGCGGAATCGATAGGTCCCCATGCCTCGGTGGCCGGCCGGCCGACTGTGAGACGTCACCGACGGGTCGCTGTAAATTGCGTCTCATTTTAAATTTTTTGTGTAAATTGTGGCCCGGGTATATTTTATACTTACGTAAATTGCAACCAGGATATATTTTGTATAAAATCAATTTATTTTTTAAAATCAATTATTTTCCTTCCCATTTTTCAGACTCGGGACTGGCAATATAATTGTTTTAGTATTGGTACGGTAAAAAAAATCGTTTTGCTGTTTTTTGTTTATAATTAAAAAATGTATAATTAACAATTACTAATAAAGTATTAGGTAAAAATTTGTATCATTAAAAAATATATTATTAAAAAAAAATTGTAATTAAGAAACTGATAAAAATTTGTAACATAATATCCGCACATATAGTCTAACCAAGTAATTTTTTTTTTTGCTTGCAATTCATACATTTTTTCATTTATAAACGTTTCTTTTTCAGTCATTTTTTTTTTTTTTTTTTGCTTTTTGTTCCCTTACATCCCAAGTTGATATCTACATCGTAGATTATTAATTACTACTAATCTTTAAATAATTGTACAGCCGACCTGATATCGGAATATCCCGGGCCGCAATTTACGTATGTTTTAAAAATACATGGACCGCAATTTATATAGTATAATATGACTATGACCTTTTTTTCGGGGACGCAATTTACAGACTCGGTCACCTACCACTGCCATAGTGTCATATTTTACTCTTCAGTTATTATAATCTGCTACGTCTGAGTGTAAGTTGGTATTTTTTTGTTGATTAAATGTTGTACCACATAGACTTTTTTCTGGATGCGCGTTTTTTTGAAACAATATTTGTATATATTTAGCTAACATTGAGTAGTTTTCTGTTTTTTAATCTCCACATTTCCCACGCAGATTGTTTATGATCTTAGTGTATTTAATGTTGAGTATGATGATCTTTTTACAATGAATTATTAAAATAATAAAAGGTGGTGGGAGGAAGGTTTGAAATTTGAATTCAATAATTTATCGTTGTATATAAAAAAAAAACTGTTCTGAGTGGAGACAGTCAGTCAATAAAATTAATAATATTTTATGGTATATTTTTTGATATTGATATTAAAATCAGTGGCGTAACTACATGGTTGCATAGGTGTGCATTGCACCGGGGCCCGGGGCCTAGACGGTCCAAAAGGGGGCATTTTAATATTTTGTATAAAATATATTAAAATTTTATATTTTGTTAATAATTTTAAACTACCTACTTTATAATAAATAATAAACTACGATAAAAACATAAACTTTTATATTACAAAGAGTATAAAAATACATATTATTATGTCATTTATTTCATGTATAAATATAATTTAATTAATTATGATATATTTTATGAATTATAAATATTATAATACATAATATAATTATACATTTTATATATACGTGTAATAAATTGTCTAATTTTATTCATATAACGATTTTTAGGGGCCATTAAATAATATTGCACATGGGCTAGAATTTTATAGTTACGCCACTGATTAAAATGATTATTATTTTACTATTAGTATTACAGTAGGTTGTTTACCGTAAACATTGCATTTGTTTTATTATAATAGTATGTTAAGTTATAATTTTTATTAAATTTTTTGTCAATACCCTACCTTAGTATAAGAGTCTTATGATAAGACTGTGACTAGTGTGAACAGGTATTGGTTTAAAAACAATTTACACAATATTTTAAAAATGTCATTGCGTACAGTTATATTTATATGATACGTAAAAGTTTTAAATAATAATAATGGTTTTAATCTATAACACAATCATTTAGGTATATCCATATTCCTCACTTAAATATCCCCTTTCGCTCAAATTTAATTTAAAATGTCTGTTAAAAAAATTTAAAAAATACTGTTATTAGTTATTTATGATATTTTTTTGTTTTTGTTTCAAAATAAATTATTTACGAACAACTTTGTATAATAATTTCAAATCTTAGTTATAAAAATTAAACATTTTATACATTTTAAACTATGAAATAATTTACAGTTGTAGGTAATTTTTTTTTTGTAAATAATTTTAGTATGTCTCAAATACGCATATCTTTAAAAGAATATAAAAAATAAAAAATAAAATTACTTATAAGTGATAAGTTATATTTGAAATTTGTAATTTATTTTCTTTATTAATATTTTATTTTATTATAAATTAATAATAAGATAGTTCAACGAAAATGTATGAATGATGCTGTAGAAAAGTCACCCATAGGCCATAGGTCATTTTGGTCAACATAAATCTAGCACCCTCATAAATTTAATCCAAATTGCGCCTACCTATGTAATAGTATATGTAACAAAGGTTACAGCATAAATTGCATATATTGTATATATATTGAATAATACATCCATACAAATTAATTATTCTACTAATTTTATTAAGCTAATTAAAAAAAAATTTCTATTTAATAGTTTTAGATATTTACGTAATAGCACACATTAATAATTCATAGTACATTCTCATATATTTGTATAGTTAAACATGTCTAATAAATAAAAACAAACAATTTAGTTAGATTATGTTATACACGCATTATAGTTTTAGCAACATACATGAAAAATGAATAATCGAATTTTT